TGGAAGAAATGGATGCATTCCTAGAGATGTATCAACTACCAAAACTGAACCAGGAAGAAATAGAAAACATGACCAGCAAGGAAACCGAAGCAGTAATCAAAAATCTTCCAACAACCCAGGCCAGATGTCTTCCCAGGGGAATTCTACCAAACATTTAAAGAAGAATTAATACCTATTCTTCAGAAACTGTTCCAAAAAATAGAAATGGAAGGAAAACTTCCAAACTCATTTTATGAGGCCAGCATTACCTTGATCCCAAAACCAAAGACCCCATCAAAAAGGAGAATTACAGGGCGCCTGGGTGGCTCAGTTGGTTAAGCAACTGCCTTCGGCTCAGGTCATGGTCCTGGAGTCCCAGGATCGAGTCCCGCATTGGGCTTCCTGCTCAGCGGGGAGTCTGCTTCTCCCTCTGACCCTCTTCCCTCTCGTGCTTTCTCTCTCTCATTCTCTCTCTCTCTGAAATAAATAATAAAATCTTTAAAAAAAAAAATGAGAATTACAGACCAATGTCCCTGATGAACATGGATGAAAAAATTCTCACCAAAATACTAGCCAATAGGATCCAACAGTACACTAAAAGGATTATTCATTACGACCAAGTGGGACTTATTCCTGGGCTGCAAGGTTGGTTCAACATCTGCAAATCAATGTGATACAGTACATTAATAAAAAAAAGAACAGGAGCGCCTGGGTGGCTCAGTCGTTGGGCATCTGCCTTTGGCTCGGGTCGTGATCCCGGGATCCTGGGATCAAGCCCTGCGTTGGGCTCCCTGCCCCGCGGGAAGCCTGCTTCTCCCTCTCCCACTGTGTTCCCTCTCTCGCTGTGTCTCTGTCAAATAAATAAAACCTTAAAAAAAAAAAAAAGAACAAAAACCATAGGATCCTCTCAACAGATGGAGAAAAAGCATTTGACAAAGTACAGCATCCTTTCTTGATTAAAACTCTTCACAGTGTAGCAAGAGAGGGTACATACCTCAATATAATAAAAGCCACCTATGAAAAACCCACAGCAAATATTCTCAATAGGGAAAAACAGAGCTTTTCCCCTAAGGTCAGGAACATGGCAGGGATGTCCACTCTCACCACTGCTATTCAACACAGTACTAGAAGTCCTAGCCACAGCAATCAGACAACAAAAAGAAAGAAAAGGCATCCAAATTGGCAAAGAAGTAAAACTCTCACTCTTCGCAGGTGACATGATACTCTGTAGAAAACCCAAAAGACTCCACCCCAAACTGCTAGAACTCATACAGGAATTCAGCAAAGTGGCAGAATATAAAATCAATGCACAGAAATCAGTTGCATTTCTATACACCAACAAGGCAGAAGAGAGAATTTAAGGAGTCAATCCCATTTACAATTGCACCCAAAACCGTAAGATACCATAAAATATCTAACCAACGAGGCAAAAAATCTGTACTCAGAAAACTCCAGAATACTCATGAAAGAAACTGATGACACAAAGAAATGGAAAAACGTTCCATGCTCACAGATAGGAAGAACAAATGTTGTGAAAATCTCTACGCTACCTAGAGCAATCTACGTATTTAATGCTATCTTTGTTAAAATATCAACTTTTTTCACAGAAATGGAACAAATAATCCTAAAATTTGTATGGAACCAGAAAAGACCCCAAATAGCCAAAGGAATGTTGAATATTAAAAGCAAAGCTGGTGGCACCAGAATTCCGGACTTCAAGCTCTATTACAAAGCTGTAATCATCAAGACAGTATGGTACTGGCACAAAAACAGACACATAGATCAGTGGAAAAGAATAGAGAGCCCAGAAATGGACCCTCAACCCTATGGTCAACTCATCTTCAACAAAGCAGGAAAGAATGTCCAATGGAAAAAAGACAGTCTCTTCAACAAATGGTGTTGGGAAAATTGGACAGCCACATGCAGAAGAATGAAACTGGACCATTTCCTTACACCACACACAAAAATAGACTCAAAATGGATGAAAGACCTAAATGTGAGACAGGAATCTATCAAAACCCTCGAGGAGAACACAGGCTGCAACTTCCTCCTAAGAAACATCGCCAAAGGCAAGGGAAGCAAGGGCAAAAATGAACTATTGGGACTTCATCAAGATAAAAAGCTTTTGCACAGCAAAGGAAATAGTCAACAAAACCAAAAGACAACCCACAGAATGGGAGAAGATATTTGCAAATGACGTATCAGATAAAGGGCTAGTATCCAAAATCTATAAAGAACTTATCAAACTCAACACCTGAAGAACAAATAATCCGATCAAGAATTGGGCAGAAGAGGGCGCCTGGGTGGCTCAGTCATTAAGCGTCTGCCTTCGGCTCAGGTCATGATCCCAGGGTCCTGGGATCAAGCCCCACATCAGGCTCCCTGCTCAGCGGGGAGCCTGCTTCTCCCTCTCCCACTCCCCCTGCTTGTGTTCCCTCTCTTGCTGTGTCTCTGTCAAATAAATAAAATCTTAAAAAAAAAAAAAATGGGCAGAAGACACGAACAGACATTTCTCCAAAGAAGACATCCAAATGGCCGACACATGAAAAATTGCTCAACATCACTCAGCATCAGGGGAAATACAAATCAAAACCATAATGAGATACCTCACACTAGTCAGAATGGCTAAAATTAACAAGTCAGGAAAAGACAGATGTTGGCGAGGATGCAGAGAAAGGGGAACCCTCCTACACTATTGGTGGGAATGCAAGCTGGTGCAGCCACTCTGGAAAACAGTATGCAGGTTCCTCAAAAAGTTGAAAATGGAGGGCGCCCGGGTGGCTCAGTTGGTTAGGCGACTGCCTTCGGCTCAGGTCATGATCCTGGAGTCCCAGGATCGAGTCCCGCATCAGGCTCCCTGCTCAGCGGGGAGTCTGCTTCTCCCTCTGACCCTCCCCCCCTCCTGCTCTCTAATAAATAAAATCTTAAAAACAAAAAAAGTTGAAAATGGAGCTACCCTATGACTTGGCATTTGCACTACTGGGTGTGTACCCCAAAAATACAAATGTAGTGATCCAAAGGGGTACCTGCACCCCAGTGTTTATAGCAGCAATGTCCACAACAGCCAAACTATGGAAAGAACCTAGATGTCCATCGACAGATGAATGGATAGAGAAGATGTGGTGTGTGTACACGTACACACACACACACACACACACACACACACACACACACACACTGAACTATTATGCAGCCATCAAAAAATGAAATCTTGCCATTTGCAACGACATGGATAGAATTAGAGGGTATTATGCTAAGTGAAGTAAGTCAATCAGAGAAAAGATAATGATCATATGATCTCGCTGATATGTAGAATTTGAGAAACAAGACAGAGGATCATGGGGGAAGAGAGGAAAAAAATCAATCAGGACAAAATCACAGAGGGAGACAAACCATGAGAGACTCAATCTCAGGAAGAAAACTGAGGGTGGCTGGAGGGGAAGGAGGGTGGGAGGGATGGGGGGGCTGGGGGATGGACACTGGGGAGGGTATGTGCTACGGTGAGCGCTGTGAATTGTGTAAGACTGATGAATCACAGACCTGTACCTCTGAAACAATTATATGTTAATAAGCAATTTGGGTTAAGCTTTAACCATGAAACCAGTCCTCACCCATCATGGGAATGCTAATAAGGCACTGCCTGGGTCATAGGACATTTCACTTCTACATTTGGCTTTGCCCCTTTGATTTGGGTCTCCTTTCCCACATCTGTGAAGTAATTTCCATTACCTTGCGTATCAAGTCTTTCACTTGGGCCTGTGAGCAATCTTCTGAACCACAGGAGACTTGCTTTGTGTTGCCTTTTAAAGAAAATGGGTCTTTTAGAAGCACTGCCAGCTGTAGAGACCACGGAGACCATGGTTCCAGGCGGTGGCTGTTCCTGCATTTCCACCATAGTAGCGTCTCCCTCGGGAGTCCTCTGTGGTCACTGGGCTGCAAAGGGCTCTTACAGGGTTTCCTGACTCCCAGTTCATTTTGACACTGGACTTCCAAGTTCATGCTGTTTCCTCCACAGCCTGGGGCTGCTGGCTTCCTCTGAGCTCTGACTCAGGCTAGCAGCCAGATTCTCTAATCCTCCCTCACAGAAAGGGCTGTGCAGTTCTGGACCAACTCAGGCAGGGGCCCCACCACCAGCTGCCCTCTGTCTCCCCCATGGACCTAGGGGGTGTGCTCTCAGCTCACCAACATGGCAATGGTCTCTATGTTCCTGGTGCTTGAACAGATCCCTTTCATACTTTTGAGCTTAGGTATGTATTTTCAATTGTACTTTAAAAATACTTTGTCCAGTTTTGGAGAGGATTTTTGCATGTTTCCATAGTCTAAATAATCCCTATAGTCCTTAAAATCTAGGGTTCCCCCATTGCTTGGGTTTTCAGAGTGAGATAGCTAATTACTGAAGTAGGAATGCTTTCTAGGCTACTCTCCACCTCAAGTGGACCAAATGATCGAGGTTCCCTTTTCTCATAAATGTATTTAAATGTTTCCTGATGCCTGGGAAGGAAAGGCTTATTAAAAGAACATCTGTAATCTTTCACCTTTATTGGTAGAACAAACAGAACTCCTTTTAGCTAATGGGAACAACTCTGATTCTAGAATGTCCTGGTGTCTTCCAAAGCATCTGTCAAGATCCCAGGCTCCTGTGGTGCTTACTGATGAGCATGAGGCGGCAAAATCTCTGACCTGGGGATGCCAACAACCTGCCCAAACTGGGAACCTTCACTGTCACCTCTCCTTGGCTTCCCCTCATGACTCATTGGTTCAAAGGAGCTCAGTTTTACAGGCTCAACAGCCTTCCAAATTCTGCGTGCAGAATGGGGGGGTCAAGGGAATGTTCCTCAGCCCTGGGGACAGCTGGATCTGCCCTGTCACTCACCCCAGAGTACCACGAGGATGGGACCATTTTCAGTGAGTGCCGATATGTGATAACGATTGAAAAAGCACTGCGCCGAGTAAACCTCTGGAAGAGTTCCAGTCTCTTCTCCAAATGACGGAATAAAATCAAGGCTTCCTCCAAGCGCACGTCCCATTATCTTTACAAAGCTTTATTGAAACCTGTACGTCAAGGTGACAATAATTCAGTGTTTGGAAGACAGTAACGAAAAAAGGGTATCTCAGACTCAGGTTTACCAAATAAATACTGGAAACCAGGGAGCTCGTTCCTCCATCTCCCAGCAGGAACACAGGGTGTAACAATAGCTTCTGCTGACTCGGGGACAGGAACTTGTGCTAATGGGCACGTCTGCAGCATCTCCCCGGAAACCACGACGGGTGTAAAGAGGTTTGCTTTGGTCCAAAGGATGTCTTCCTGACACAAATTTAGAAGGCTGCTGTCAAGTTCTAAGTTCCTTCCAGGATAAGCAAGAGCAACTCTACCGCCTTCACTGCTAAGTGCAGACGGAGGCCCTGAGCAAGACGGCACAGGCTAGGGTAGGGCGCTTCTCTGAAGTGTTCGTGGAAACAATGTCACCTCACTGCGATTAGAATAAGAAGCTGGACAACGCTCCAGCTAACAGTGGTCAGTCCTCGGGATCATCTGGCTTCATGGAGAAATCCGGCAGCGGTTTTCAGAGTCTGTTCTAAAAACAGATTATTGCTGAATACAGTTCACATGATCTATATTCTAGTTAGGGTGATTTTAAAATTGCCCTAAGACCAGAGAGTCAGCCACCTCTGGTTTAAAACAAAAGTACTCAGTGCACAGAAGCAAGAAACAATTGTAAATTTCATCTGGAAATCAGACAGGTTCTAATTTCTATAGAAATTATACCTCCCTGGAGCAGAAAACAGGAGACCATCTTATTGCTTTGATTTCAAGAGGACCGGTACTTGCTGTTAGCTCCACAGTCAGGCCTCAACAGGGACAAGTGGGTGGCCTCAGACACACATATGATCAGACATTCTGTGTGGCCTCCATCCCTGCTTCTCGGATTTTACCAGCAAAGTGGCTAGGGTTCATTTTTGGCTTAAGAAGCATCTCCACGACCAGCTCAAAAGATGTCTGTTAAGAATTGCACCTGTCCTCATGCACCGTGGTATGGGGGCCACAGACCTGTGTCCCCTCACTCTGTTCTCAGCTCTAGTGAGCCTTGAGACTCAAAGCCACTGGGTGCCCAGAGGACTGTTACAGACAGGAGGCGCTTCGGGAGCTGCCACGCCACTGGGTGCCCAGAGGACTGTTACAGACAGGAGGCGCTTCGGAAGCTGCCACGCCTGGAACAAACCTTCAAGCAGGACTATGGCGGGTATGAAATGTCTTATAGAGTGTGAAATGAAAAATTTACAGTCCATTCCCTCTAGTGGAAAGCATGCACGCGTGGAGCCTGGGGGTGCACACTGTTCCCTGGGGCCCACCGCTGGCTCCCAGCTCTTCATATGGGCTTGTATAACAAGGTGGTGACATACTTTTTCTTGTATCGGTGGGTCGCGCTGAGCACCATCACTCCATCCTGAGGAAGAGGGTGGAAATGATCAAAGGCAGGACTAAGTCAAGGGCTCAAAGTAAGTGTGTGTGTGTGTGTGTGTGTGTGTGTGTGTGTGTGTGTGCGCGCGCGCGCGTGTGTGCGAGATTAAGGGGGCTTAATAAAAAGAGTCCTGTTCTGCCTTCAGAACCAGAGCCTGCGGGTATGCATAAGGTCCCAGAAGCTGCCCTTTAGGTAAGTACTCCAGGTAGTTCTGTGACTAGGGGGCCCCAGAGCACACTTTGAGAAACAGCTTAATCAGCAACAAACACATCATTACCTTGATAGAGAGCGCGTAAAGGTGGTTCAACATGACATGGTTGGGCTCAGGGAGCAAAGCTGGATCACACTGTGGGGGGAACAAAAGCAGATGGTGAGCATTTAGGATTTGGAAATGAAGAAGGTTCTCCCTTTATTTCGCAGCAGTGGGTATCAACAGGAAAAAGGCCGGTTCTCATGCCCCTTTCTGCTTAAGCTGGGCAGTGAAAGGCTCGTCTAAGATGACAGGTGAGGTGACGGGGGTCATGCCTCATGCTCCAACTAAGGGGAGCTCCCTGCGTGCCTGCTGGATGCACGGGTATATGTCTTGGTCAGGCTTTACCCTGGCCTCTGAATTGTGAACCATGGCTCTGTCCTCTTACAGAAAGGGAAGAAGGAAGAAAGAGCTGTCAACTGAGTGCACTTTTAGAGAAAGCAGCAAGATAAATCTATACTAAACATTCCTGAGCAGTGGACTGCAGGCTCATGTCTATACTCAGGGAGCATGATGAAATGGATGGGGGGGCGGCATGGCACCTGGTGCCTGGAGAACAGCGAGTCCCCGGGGGAACGAGCCATGACTGCGATGGGGGGATGCCCGCACATGCCTGCATTCAGCTCTTCAGCTCAGCACAGGTGTAGCTGCTTGTATGTGGAGTCCAGAGCAGCGACATGGTTACTTTATCACCTCATAAACATGTGAATTTTAGGGGGTAGCTTGAACAAAGCACAGGACAGCCAGATTCCTCAGAATTAGGGCCATGCTGTGCATATCTACTTAAACAGAACGGAAAATTAACAAGGTAATAATGGGGTGCTCTTCATGATCCAGGAGGATTACACTTCTTTTTACAAACAGTATCAATTTCTCAGAGAAAATGTGTGTTACCCAGATTCCCCAAATTTGGATCCAGGAGCACTGATGTTTCTGAAAGCAATTTGATGATTTAAATTAGATTCTAAAACGTGGGGGCCAGAAGAGGAATTCCATTCGGTAGTTTACTGAGAAGGGGTGGCTATATATTTCATCATGATTTATAAGGAATGAGGCTGAGGGAGGAGTGAAACACAAGGAAGACAAGTTCAGAAAGGCTCGGTGTGATGGGAGAGCAGCACCCACACTCGGGGAACATCTTGCTCGCAGCCCATTCCCACAGTGGAGGGGGACCCTGGCAGGTGGCAGTTAATACCGATGGGCAACCCAAAACCTTTTTACCAACTGCTTTCTGAGATGGTCAGAAAGGGGAGCCTTGGAACATGACCCCGGAGGATGGTCCTGGCAGATGTCTGTGTACTCACAGAAATCCCCGTGTCCTTGTTCAGGATGACCTGGAGCAGATGTGGAGGGAGAATGGGTGGGGCTTTAAACCGTTCTTCTGGTTTTGAGACATAGGGCTCCTGATGGTAGGGTCCCGGTGGGGAGCTGGACAGCTCTGTTGGGAGATGGTGACAGGATATTTACATTGAAAATTATGAGTTTGAGGAGCAGTCTCGTTGAATTTGTGGCATCATCTAGTTTTCCTTGTCCCCTCAATAAAGATTTATATTCCCTTGAAGAACATACAGGCCCCAAGGGTGAAGAGTAGAGGCAATGAGAAAACCCTCTGCAATCTGGGTGACTGGCATAAAATTCAGCAGCCAGCTCAGATGCCCCGGCAGCAAACAACGGTGGTGGTGAAGCTGGTAATTCCGGGTCAGACTAACAAGGAAGCTGCTCACAGTAACCTAACCTGACCTGCCCCTGCAGAACAATGCTTCTCGCCTTGGGCTGGGCTGGCAAATACCGCAAAGAAGCTCAGGGCTTCAAGTGAGGCTTCAGCAGCCAAGCTTAAGGTGTGAGCACCACCAGCCAGAATAAAACAGAAGATAAAGCAGCCTGTGGATACAGACACGGTGGCAAAAACAGGTTACAGGAAGCACTGGCACATTTCAAAACTAAAACCAAAAATAAAAAATTGAAACCCTGATCTCTACAGGTTCAACTCTGACTCTACCACTCTGAGCTTCCGTTCAAACTCTTGCTTGAGTGTCTTGATTACACAGATATATCAAGAAGCTTCTAGAAGGGCAGTGTTTCATCAGGTTAGAGGCGGCTCACTTAGCAATGTTGGGCCAGCTGGAAGGGACTGAGCGGTTATTCAAAGGACACCTGGGCCGGGTTCTGGCTGCCTGATCCTTGGAGGCATCCAAGAATAAATCTGATGTGCTCTCACTCTGCCAGTTCCCTTGATGTCATTTTCTAGGGTACAGGCTCCCTTCACACGACCCAACCATATGACAACAGGAAACTGAGAAAAGCATTAAGTGCAGAAAACTGAGCCATTGGGAGTAAAGATGTATTTTAAGAAAGTGAATATCTAAATATGAAGTCTATGCAGAGCCTGATATTGGTTTACTGGCAGTGAGGGGTCAGTTTTCTTTCCCCAGGTGGTCTATGCTGCAGAAAAAAGCTTGACTAAAAAGCTTTGGTAAGTGGTCTAAAATTACATTTATCAGTACGTAGGGGATACTGGGGCATTTTCTTCATTCCCCAATTCCCACCTACTAAGAAAGAAATAAATGACTTCTCGAAAAGATTAGTTAGCTAGCTATCCAGAGGGAACACTATTTTTGGATTTCCAATTCCTGCTCAACAAGCTGGCTTTTCAGCCACAGCAAGCCCACCATAGTCAAATTTACCACCGCGGTTTCTGAACTGATAAGAGATCCTGGTGGCAGAAGCTCTAGGCCCAGCCAGGTAACAATGAAGAATCATCCTGTAAACTGAACTGAACCCATCTTGTTAGATTATCAGGTACAGTCCTGGGCAATCTTTTCACTGCCTCCCACAGGGGTCCAGGAATTATTTAAACCCCTGCAAGAAGGGGCAGTGAAGTTGGCATGAACACTTAGATTATAACACGTCCGGTGCCTGGGTGGCTCAGTTGGTTAAGCAACTGCCTTCAGCTCAGGTCATGATCCTGGAGTCCCGGGATCGAGTCCCACATCGGGCTCCCTGCTCAGCAGGGAGTCTGCTTCTCCCTCTGACCCTCTTCCCTCTCGTGCTCTCTCTCTCTCATTCTCTCTCTCTCAAATAAATAAAATCTTTTAAAAAATTAAAAAAAAAAAAATTACAACACATCATTGCCCCTGAATTCTATGTATTACATTTCTTCCTGTGGGTTTGGATGGAAAGCAATTTACCGAAAGCTTGATGACTGGCTGACTCTTGGGAGATGATAAAGTTTTACTAGGTTGGTACTGAGTAGGCTGCACAGTTAGCCTGTTTCCTGTGATGAGCCTGTCTCCCCTCGCAAGGGATTCTGAGAAGGTGCTAATACACCCCATGAGGTCACAGAGGTGTCCATTTACCACCTGCCAGGCTGAAACTCTTTAGGCAGGCACCCCAAGCGAGTCAGGAGTGGGTAGGGAGCTGGCAGGCCTCCCTTGAGCTGGCTCATCACCGACCCAACGCAACTCTCCAGGACCTCCTGGGCCCTGCCCCTGGCACAAGATCAAGCTCTGGTTCTGTTTCCATGGTCTGCTCTCTGTGGCTAAGGAAACCTACTGAATACTGGAGAGGACCAAAAAAAATGACTTACAGCTCCCTTGGAGCTGGATTTCAACAACCTGATCTGACAGAGTTAGGAATTACTTTTGTGGCTCTTTAGGGAACTACAAACATCTACAAACAACTACAAACAACTGGGCAGCAGCTTGAGCTCAAGAGTGAGAGGCAAGAGAAATAAGAGTGTTTCTAGACTGCATAGCCCCCACCTGCACACATGTGGTATAAAATAACTGTGTTCATACCAGACACATCGGAGCACTTTTGGGAATCCACCATTAAAGCATCAAATACTTCAAAGTCAGTTTTCTTCACTTGAATGATGTTGTTAACTGTGCCAAGCTGGCTGGTTACTATTGGCTGGGAAGAGACAGACAGGCAGAAATCATAACGTGGAAGGTCTCTGGAGTTATTCTCTAGAGGATTTAGACTTCCTGGCTGGAAGGTCTCATCTCCGGGCTAGCCAATCTGCTCATCTCCATCAAGTTTGCCCGTAAGTCTGACAACCAGCACTGCTATCTAGCTCAGCCACACACGGGGATTTTACCGGCGGGACAAAGGGACCTGGCACAATCGATAAGGGAAAGTAGTTTGTTTGGACTGTGCAGGCAGTCAGAGGACCAATGGCAGGAGGAAGAGTACCTCGGAAGGGTCATGCGTCCACTGCCCATCCACAAAGAACTTGTACTGATGCTCTCCTTCAGGCAGGTCCAGGATGGCTACAAAGTTATTGTGGCTGCAAGGGAAAAGGAAGCAGAGGATTTCAGCTGGGTAAGCTGCCCTCCTAAGCTTACCGACAAAATCAGCCATCAAGGGGCGCCTGGGTGGCTCAGTCGTTAGGCATCTGCCTACAGCTCAGGTCATGATCCCAGGGTCCTGGGATCGAGTCCCACATCAGGCTCTCTGCTCAGCAGGAGGCCTGCTTCTCCCTTTCCCACTCCCCCTGCTTGTGTTCCTACTCTCTCTGTCAAATAAATAAATAAAATCTTTAAAAAAATAAATCGGCCATCAAACAAAACCCGACCTTTCCATGTGAAACCAAGAGTTCAGCTGCAGAAGAGTAAACATTTTTAACCACTTTAGACAATTCAGTAGAATGATCCCAAACTAGAAGAGCTGTAAAGCAGCAGCAATGCAAGACGTTTCCTGGAGGACTCACTTTGCTCAATTGCAGGAATAATCCGCCTTCCTACCAGCAAAAGGTCAACAATCAGGCACATGTTCTTTTCAGCTTGCATGCAAAATACCACTCATGCCAAGGAGGAGAACAGCTCCAGGTAAACTGCATGCTGCAGTTTTAGTCTTTGTCAGTCTGCCTTGGGCAGGAGATGGGACCGATTCCACAGGATCCACAAATAGGTCTCTAAAGAAACTTGCTTCCTTACTAAGACAAGTTTCCAGGAAAGCTCTCTGTTTTGTTCCCCAGACTTAAAAGGACTTGTAACTGTGCTGAGTGTCTCCCTCCTACACCGATATCAGCCCTGGGAAAGCACGGGGTTTGGGACAGCAATCAGGCCTGATGCAGCAGGGCACAATCTCTCCCTCTGTTTCATCAAGAACACTCACTAATGAAGATGCTTTTTTTCTTTTCTAAAGATTTTATTTATTTATTTGACAGAGACAGACACAGCAAGAAAGGGAACACAAGCAGAGGGAGTGGGAGAGGGAGAAGCAGGTTTCCCGCTGAGCAGGGAGCCTGATGCGGGGCTCGATCCCAGGACCCTGGGATCCTGACCTGGGCTGAACGCAGATACCTAACGACTGAGCCGCCCACGTGCCCTGAAGATGCTTTTCCAATGACAGTTTGAGACAGAAGTCCATGCTAGGATTCCTGATCACGTGTTTTACTATGGCCTTGCTAATGATGCCTAAAGAACAGGTACCTTCCAAGCAAAAGTAATACACAGAGAGGCAAAGTTAGAAGGAACCTCAGAGATTATCTAATATTCCCTTCTTACAGATAGAAACACTGGGACTCAGGTGTCACCAAGATGTTAGCTCAGCCAATGTGGACTCAAATCCTGGTCTTGAAGATTCCCAGCTCAGTGCTCTCTCTCCACTAGGAATAGATTTCTCTCTTTCTGCAGGAGATGTCCCGCCTAAGCAAACACACAGCTGCATATCTGAAGTCAAAAATGTTCATGAAATCTCATTACTGAGAAATGTTTTCTTCTAAGTGTGCTCTAAACCTAGAGACTAACTGGGAGTGAGATGTAAACCCTGTGAATTATTAAGCAAAATTATTTTCCATTCAGCATCCATTTTATAAAAACTTTGTTTTCTATTCCCCATTTAGAAACCACAGTATCCCTGGATGAAGACAAATATGTGAATACTGCCCAGGCAGTTACCTTCTTGTGAGGGGAAGTTTACTCCAGTTGTTGAAGGACCCAGATAAGTAAACTTCCTTTCCGCCCCCCGTCCATCGAAATACTGTTGGCCGAGCCTGGGCGGGGGCTTTATCATTCACTTCCAGATCATGCTGCCAAGCCAGGAATTCCTCCTTCTCTGGAGCCTAGAAACGGAACAGTTTACTCAGGGACAGGAAGCCATTAGTGAGCTCCCTACAATGGACAGTTACCCTAATGTAGACAATTCATTCTAAAGAGACAGCGATTACTACTTAGGTTCATATTCAGGCTCATTAACTTAATAGCGGTGTGCTGGTTTCTCCACTTGGAAAACAGAGATAACAAAAGGAACTATTTCTTAAGGTTGTTGTGAAAGACTGAGAGGGTCCATGTAAATTGCTCTGCATAGTGTCTGACACATAGTGCGTACTTAATAATTATTAGCTGTTAATACTGTTGTGATTAAACAGATCTACACCAAAATTTTAGTAGAAGCTACAGAACTCACTTGGAAGAGGATGCAATGAATTCAAGACCAGATAGATAAATGTCCTTTTCTTCCCTTAATTAACAAGATTTGAAGTACACGAAAATTTATTAGGAACAATTCCAGAGCTGTCAACTTGAAAACTCACAAATCCAGATTCTAAGGGAAAAAAATATTCAAAGTGCTGTTCAGGCATTGGGAATAAAAAGATAAGACACAGACTGACCCTCCATATGGCAAACAATGGCTTCTAAGCGCAGGAAGTGATGTATAACTGAGGTATTCCAAACTAAGAAATAAACACATCCAACTCTGGGGGAAATATATGTGCTTTTGGATCTTTTACATATTTACTAGTCAGAAGCCAAAGATATTAAAAGAGTGGGAGTTCCAGGTTGGGAGAGACCCTTAAAGGTGTTGATGAGTGAGCTTCTAAGACCTTCATTTCAAATACTGACCAGAGTTGTTGTTGTTTTTTTAAGATTTTATTTATTTATTTGAGAGAAAGAGAGAGTGCACAAACAGGCAGGCAGGACAAAGGGAGAGAGAGAGAAGCAGACTCCCCATTGAGCAGGGGGCCCGACATGGGATTCAATCCCAGGACCCTGGGATCATGACCTCAGCCAAAGGCAGACACTTAGCCGACTGAGCCACCCAGGTGCCCTGACCAGAGCTTATTTTGAATGACGCCTGCTTTAAGAGAGAACAAGATCTACAGATTAAAAAAATAACAGACTGGAATCACTTGCCACTGAGAAGGTGATAACTAACCACAGCCAAAATGGTGAACTAGTGTAGCTAAAATAATCCATGACTTTTTTGGGAATATAGGGCATTCAATCCAGTGTCTCTGCTACATCGTTTCAGTAACTTCTGAGGAAGTGATAATGGAAACTATTTAAAATCATTGTCCACAGATTCTCTGTATGCTAAACGTTTCTTGTAGGAATTTTGGAACAGCAACAGAACAGTTACTTCTAGAATAAAGTAGTTTGGTTCTTATGGTATCTTAAATAGCCGTCCTTGGGCCACAATTATTTCTGGGGGGAAAGGATATCAAGTCACTGGAGAAACAGGATTCCAAAGTTCACTTTGCATACAGGTCCTCAGGAATGCAACAAATGCAGAAAGCGAGTGCAAATCACAGGACATAAGGCCCAGTAAAAGACTCTTTAGACTCAAAGCCAAGATCCAAGTGAGGATTTAAGATCATAATGTGATCACCAAGCCCAACATCTGAGAAAAAATACGAGTAAAGGTGGAATGAGTTGCCAGGCAATTAGCCTAATGGGCAATGATGATTAATATGCAACTGGATACTAACAGAGAATATGCTGGGCTGGGGAGACATCTTGATTTTTCCTAAACCTACTCTGTTGCATTGTCCTTAAGGGATCAGTTCTTCCTCTCTGAGGATCTACCACATACTTATCAGCTGCCAGAACCACTAAGTGTCCGTGGTTCTGGACACCGGGCAGGGGCCTTGCAGCTGGAAACACAAGACCCCATCAGGTAGTTAGCAGGCATGTGGCTGAAGCAGGAGTCAAGATTCATCTTCAAAGTTTTGATAAATTACAGCAGACCATGGTAAGATGTCCAAATTTGGCTTGCAAAAATGTTTGCTTTGGTCTAAAATCTTAAGTCATATTTACACAACAGGAGAGAGAAGGTGAGTAGCAACTGGCTGCCCCCCTTTCAGACTGACACTTCACTCACCCACTGACCTCCAAAAGTGGGTTTACTTTTCTATGTCTGCTCTAAAGTGGTTTGGTGAGCCAAAAGTTTGTTAGAATGAAACACCTCTGGCAACTACGGTCAGCTGTGTAACTCTACTTTCGGCTTACACGTGTGCTCTGGGTTATCTCCAAAATCGACAATAAACTACAAAGCCAGCTATTACAAGAAGTGTTAGTTTTCGTAAAGGGGAGGAAAAATTTCTCAAAGCAGTGAAACTAATTATACCTAAGAGGCGAGCAGAGACTGGGGCTCACCTGCTGCTAGCTCAACGATCTTAAGAATTTGAAACGCTGTCCCAGAGCTGCTTTCGCCTTAATGATGTTGAACGAAGTGCGTTCCTCCTCCCTCGGGGTGACTTTCTCATCGGTAATTAGACACAGGTTCCTGGACTGCTAAGAGGGCTCTTACCCGGCCATCTGGCTTCTAAGTGCACGGAGTTAAGTATCACCTACCTTCCCACTTATGATGAGTTCGGCGGGGAATCTAGGAGAGGGCTCCCCCCCTCAACACTAGTCCAGGGGAGCCGGATTCCCTCACCCCTCACCTTGATTTCCTCGGAGTGGAAGAGGTCGGCGTCCTCGGGACTGTCCATCAGGATCTTGGGCCTGTCCCCGTCCTTGGCGCTCCCCGAGCTGTCCCTTCGCGGGGTCTTGTGGCCGCCCTGCCGCTCCAGCGCAGCCCGCTCGCTGCTCGTGTTACCCATGGCGGGGCTCTGCGGGGGACTCCGGGAAGCCGGACGGGGCCTCACTCCAGGGAAGGGGCAGGGGACTGCGGCAACCAGCGGGTCACACGGACCCCGGGGAAGGAGTCGGAGCCCCGAGTACCACACCCCTCGGGCGAGGCTTGCGGGCCGGGAACCGGTTTGAGGCGGGTGAGAAGAACTGGCGAGGTTACCCAACCGCGCTTAAACCCAAGAAGCCCGAAAACAGCCCAACACTTGCCCCACAACTCCCCTACCTCTTAGCAACTTCCGCTTCCGGCGCGTCTGTGAGTCAGTCGGGATCCGGGGTGGGGGCGGCGGCGGCCGGCGAATCGCATTCGGCAGTTCCGCTTCCGGTCTGGATTGGCGGGGTCGCAGCACCCTGAGGAGGCCGCCCTCGGAGCGCGCAGTCGCAGTCGGCTGCTACGACGGGACCCAGGATGAGGCTGCTGAAGGCCGGCAGGGGGCGTGCCAGCGGGCGGGCTGTCTGGGTCCCTCTCCCCGCGCTGGAATGAGTGATGCCGTTAACTATTTTAGATATCTTTGCCCACTTCCAGTTGATTCTGTACTCGACAGCCAAAGAGCTCGTTTAAAGTGCTCATCTAATTAAGAGACTCATCTTATCAAAGCCTGTTAATGTTCTAGCTCCCACGCTTTTGAGTGCCTTAGAAGCACTGACTGCATAAAATGCAGATTCCCCGGCCCTAATCCCCGGAAATTATGATTCCGAAGCTCTGGAGTGGGGTCTGCATTTTAAGCACTCCAGGTGATTCTGATGCAAGTAATCTTGCAGGTGTTTGATTAAATGCCAGACCATAAGAGTTCTGGAAATTTCTCACTAGTAGGCTTGGGGGTTATAAAACGTGGGAGTTATTAGTGTATTTTTAAAGTGCACAGCCTTTTGATAGATAATTTTGTAAGCTATTTTATAATCACTTTGGACACAACATTCTGCATAAAATTAATTTACTTATTAGTGTTTGTCACTGTGGCCAGTGCTTTAGCAAGAACTGTGTACACATTGTGGTCCTAAAATATTCTAATCTCGCTGTCAGTCACTATCGTGGGTTTTTTGTTTGTTTGTTTGTTTGTTTTTTGGTGGTGGGGGGGCTCTTTTGTTCTTGTTTTTGTGTTTTGTTTCGCATGTGAGTATCTCAAAATGCTTTGCATTTGCTGGGCCAGCTCATGCATTTTGTCCACTGAGCAAACATTTATTTGATACCTACAAAGTGTCAGGTATTGTGCTAAGTAAGTGGGAGACAGATGACTAAGAAATGGTCTCCTGGAGGGGATTTGGTCGTGTCTATCAAAATAAAAAATGCACCTTCATCTTAGTGCACAATTTTAATTCCAGGGAACTTCTGCAGAAATATACTCTACATGTCAATTATATGGATGCATGTTCATTTGCAGCAGGGTCTCTAATGCCATATTACATTAATTCCAAGATGCCCTTTTTTTAAGATTCATATTTTATTTCGCATTTTAATCTCTCTGAAACTAGGTGCTTCTTACAATCAATGGAATCTTAGATTTGATGAAAAAAGGCAATGAAAAACTGCAAATTTTTAAAAAGTGTGTCAACGGAATGACAAAATGAATTAAACGCATTCATTTTATAGAATACTGAGCAACTTTAAAAAAAGGAGGAAAGAGAATTCTGTGGGTAACTATGGAGAAGTGTCTATGACATTCCAAATCCCACAGCAAGTGGCAGAACAATAGAGGTTAAGAGCATGAGCCCTAAAGTCAGCCTGCCTGAGTTTAAATTCTGGCTTTACCACATTTGTAAAAAAATTGTCACCTTGGTTTCCTCTTTTGTGAAATAGGAAATAAAATAACAGCGACCTTATAGGCTTGTTTTGTGAATTAATTGAGAACATGCACGGAAAGTGCTTAGCATAGCATCTGACTCAGTAAACATTCAGTGAACGTTAGCACATTTATTGGTATCATTATTCTTGTGAATGGAAAGTTCTGGAAATATATACAACACACTGTTAATAGTGGTCCAGTCTGGGGAGAGGAGTGGGATTGAAAACAGGGACAGATCAAAAGGGGACTTTCTCTTTTTCATTGTTTGAAATTTTTTCTACTGTGAGGATGTACTACTTTTGTAATTTAAAAACAAACTTTTTTAAGACAAAAATAAATAAGACATGATTCCAGCCCCAAAGGAATCCACAGAGTAAAGGTGGAAACAGACTCACAGAAAGGCAATAATTCAACTAGGCAAGGGGTTCTACTGGTGCCCAGAAGGGACTTAAGCCAGGCCAGTGGATAACCCAGAATACATTCTTTGAGCTGTTTTTCTTACTCACGCTAGGCAATGAGGAGGCCATGGACATGAGGATGTTGAGCTTTGGGTTCTCTTCCAAACAACTTGAGTGTAAGAAAGAACATGTAAGCTGTGGACCCTTTATCTGAGCTATGCAGAGGCTTTCATGCGTGAAAAAAATTTTAATACTTCTGCTCTGGCTCAGATAAGATAACCAGGTAAAAAGCATGGGCCCTGGATCTCCCCACCTCCGCATCCTCTCTCTCCATGCACATGCAGAAGAAAGGCCAGGTGAGGACAAAGTAGCCATCTGCGAGCTAGGACGAGAACCAGAGCTGGCACCTTGCCAGAACCTTGATCTTGGACTTTCCGGTCTCCAGAACTATGGAAAAGTAAATTTCTGTTGTTTAAGCCATTCACTCTGTGGTACTTTTTTATAGCAGACTAAGACAGACTGCAGTGTGTGTGAGCTGTTGGGATAGAGTTGTAAGCTTGCTTTTTAGTTGGCCTACCTGGATTTCTAGCAGGCCTTCTGAAATTTGCCCGGGCGATGTAAATAACACTGACAACGTTCGCAGACGTGTCCGTCTTTTTTGGTAGACATCCCTGTGTCCTCTCCCCACTGAGATGCAAATGTCATTGTGACAGAGAGATAGAATGAGTTCATTCTGTGGTATTTGGTCCACAAATATTTGTGGAGAGCCAATTTATGCTGGGCTTTGTTTTGGGTGCTGGGGATAAAGGAATAACCCACAATGTTAATCCTTTTTGCAAAGCTGAAGGGCCCTGCGCGGCGGCAGATAGATATATAAACAAATACACAAACATAAATAAGCTGGATAATTTTGGAGTGATTACTACTATGAAGGAAACAAATGAAATCATGTGGGAGAGTGACTGGTGTACTACTTTAGATGAGGTGGTCATGGAGGACCTCCCTGAGGAGGTGACAGTTCAGTTGAGACTGTAATGACAAGAAAGAGTCAGATGGGAGGAGTTCGGGAGGAGCATTTCAGGCAAAGGGAAAATGCAGGTGCAAAAGCCCTGAGGTGGGTATGAGTTTTACATGCTGGAGAAACATAGAGGTGATTTGTGTGGTGGCTGGAGTGGACTGGGAAACAGGAGGAAAGGCTTGATCCTTTTGGATCTTGGTGGTCACAGTAAACTTTCTGGATTTTACTCCCAAGTCAGTGGGAATTCATGGGAGGGCTTGTGGGAGTCGTTATCTGATTCACATAATGATTAATATACAGTTTATAATATCATAGAATTTTGGGGCCGGGCTGAATGTTACAAATGAGCTGATTATAAAAATACGGAGTTGTACATTTTGGAAGGAAGAGACCTTAGTTGGCAAATAGCTTCATTTTGTGACTTGTAGGATATCTGGCAAAATTCTATTTCTTCACCTGGGTGGTGGTTATTAAAGCATTTGTCTTATAATAATTCACTAAGCCATACATTAATTTTGTGTGGTTTCCTGTATCTTTATTTTATTCTCAATAAAATTGAAATTTATTTATTTTCAATAAAAATATATCTTTTAAAGAAATAGCTTCACATACAGGGTAAACTGAGACCTAGATTGGAGTAGTAATACATCCACCTTAATAAAGTTCAGCCCGAGTCTGCTCTTTCAAGTTTTGAAGAAATAGGAGGAGAAAAGGATGTATATCTCTCTTCCCTTTTCCAAGAAGATTATCAAAACTAAAGCAGTTTTTGGGCAAAGATTCAACAAAGGTGAAAAAAAAAAAGTCTGTGTTTGTCTCATTAAAATGTGAGCTCCCAGGGATTTGAGGATCAGAGTTTGATAATCCTTCTAACAAGCATTGTCAATGACCACTGCACTTCAACTGCAAATTGCATGCATCCTTCCGTGTATGTCCAAAGTGTCGTACTATAAGCACATGGGACTGTCTGAGGGCCTTCTAGAGCATTCTTAGCATGCACAAGGGGGAGGCCAGAGGGGCCACAGAGTGGATAGCTTGTGAGCAGTGCTCATCAGTGACAGACAGGAGTTAGTGGATAGATACCCCAGCTCCCTTGCCCACTGGGTAGGACAGCTCTAAGATCTGTTCTATATAGTATCCATATAGAGGTCCCCAGTGGAACCGAACCCTGGTTGCCCAATGCAGGAACGTGATCATAAAGGTGCACTAAATTCGTTGGCTTCCCTCCTCCCTTTCCTTTGTCACTCTGGGGCTCATCTCCTAACTAAATACTCAGAATCACCTTCCAAATAAATTACCTACACAAAAATTCTGGTTCAACCTCTTAGGTTTCAGCTGAGGAGGTAAAAAGGCTTGCTGTATTATACTAGCTAGTGGCTGTCAATCACCCCTAGGACCACCCTGGTCCTAGGTTTCTGGTCCAGGTTTCTGGTCCTGGTTTCTGGTCCAGGACACTGATACGTCATTCTTCATGATCTGACAGACCTCGCAGGCTTAAAAAAACAGGACTGGAAAACACCATTCACAATAGCCAAAAGGTGAAAATAATGCAAACGTCCATCAAGGTAAGAGTGGATAAACTGTGGTGTAATCCATACAATGGAATATTACTCAGGCATGAAAAGAAAGAAGTGCAGTTGACCTTTGAACCAGTGGGGGCAGGAGCCCCACCCTCTACCCCTCCCACTGGAAAATCCGGGTATAACTTTTGACCTGCGCTTTTTAATCCACCCATAGGCTGGCTGGGACGCAGCGGCGGCTTTGGCGGGCCTGGCCCGGGGTTGGCGGTGTCTGTAGCCTGGTGGCCTTGGCGTGGTAACGATAGTCACCTGGAGGCACAGTTCAGCTGTCCCCTTCTCCTTGGAGGTGCAACACTAGCTGGTGGCCTTTGGCGGCTGCGGCGACACGTGAGTGCTGGGCCTCCGCGAGGCGGAGGGGCTGGGACCACGTGTGGGAGGGGACAGCGCCTGATGTAGCCCCGAGCCCCAGCGCCAGGAGAAGGGGTGGCCTAGGCTTCGGGGCTCCCTGCCCAGCCCCATCCCTGGCCTCTGGGTGCGTCCCTCCGCTTCAGCACAGCCTCCAGCCCACGGGCCGGGGAGGGGGGAGGGTGCTCCACCCGACTGCCCCCCA